ACGTGTATTATTCCCTGAAAGTGAACACGTTTTGTTCCTGTCAGTCAGGCATTGGCCAGGACAAGGAGCAGATGAGAGGTGTGTTTAGTTCAGTACGTGTAGGAACACGGCTGGGTGAAGTAGTCATGGGTTGGTGTTATTGTTAGTAGGTAATTTTGGTAATTTTTTTTTGTGTATACCATAGGTGTTTGTGTTTAACTGCTCTCATGTTTATTGGTAAAGCCCTAGTATGCAGGGGCTTGTGTTTTGGAGAGTATTTAACGTGTCCACTGTAGGCTATGTAGCCTGCAGAAAGGGAGGATGGGGGGTGTCATGGAGCCTCCCTGTTCATAAATGTTCATTTATTTTGTTTAACTCATTAGTAGCAGTGTGCTAGTGAGCTAATGTGAACTGTAGTGTGGTGTTTTTTTGTAGTAGTTATAAGTTATATATAAGTTACTGTTGTTAATATAGATATATTTTTATATAGGTGAGTTTTTGTCCTTCCTTCCTAATAATAATTAATATTGTTTAATATATGAGTACATGCTGGTCCAAGGTTTACTGTGTTTTTCAGAGTAATTTTATAACCCCTAGACAGCAGTGTGAACAGCATTTAGGAGCCAGGAACATTTTAAGTTACGACATCAAAGTCGTAACACTCACATAACGCTGAAATTCATATCTTCGACAGAAGAGTACAGTTTATATGCAAGTTCAGGTTTGAATATTGACTCGGGGTACTGTGTATCACAATACTGAAGATAATATATAGAAGAAGGGTGAGTCACAAGTACTCACGGAGGAAAAGTGTGCCACAGTAGTAGTTGATCAGGTCAATTTAGGTTACTCTTATAACTATGATACCTGAGATATTATTTTTTTCATTTATTTCATAAGTATTAAATCTAATAATTAACCTTTAGAAAGGCAGTGGTACCAAGATACACTGGCAGTCAGACTAGAAGGCATAGGTGTCTGCAAGGAAAACAGCACTTCCTGCATTCCTATCTTCGTATGTAGCATCCAGCGAACTTAAAACAGTGATTCTACCGGAGAATCAGGGACAATGTTAGCGTTCACGATCCAGTGCTCATTGATGAAGCCAGGTTCGAGCACACTATAAGGCTCCTCAACCAGACCAGTATCCCCTAACCCCTACAACAGTCGCACTGAGATGGCCCACTAGTTGAGAATATAGGTTCAACAATGCTTGGAGATAGACAGAGTTCGCTTCCTGGAAGAGAACTCCTCAAACGAGGATTTTCTGCTGGCCATCCCCATTTCTTCTCTAGTCATTCATCTAGACCGCAGACCATTCCTACTGGTGTTGCACTTCATCTCCCGGCCCTGCCTTCGCCAAACACAGGTGTATGTGTGAAGTACATCGGCAGACGGATTCAAGTACCATGGTCTCCGTTACCGTTATATCTGAGGGAAAGATCACAAGGCACGGAGAAGCCTTCCAATAGCTGGATGTCCAGCAGTACTGGAGCCTTCACAACTATGCAGATCCAATGACAGCCAAATGGCTCCAGATTTAATTACCCTCTAAACGTAGGCAAGTGGCAAGCAGGTGTTGTGGAACATCTTCACGTTCACACTTGCTGACTTCTATCTCCAGTACATAAGGAATGACGGAGGGGCAATTGTCAACTTCAGGGAATCTCATAAGTCTAGAAAAGTAATGCGAACTTGCTCATCATCAAATGTTTGTTCCAATAGGTTCAGAGATCTTCGGCTCATGGGGAAAGACTGCATCCATGTTCCTGAAGGAATTGGGAAAAAATGTCATGGCAGATAAGGATTCCGGAGAAGCCAGTTTTCTTTTCCAGCGTCTCAGTGTTGTGTTTCGGAGAGGTAATAATTGTTTTTGGCTTGGTATTAGTTCCTGCTCTGAGGAGCTACAGAAAGATTTTCAAATTTAGTTGTTGACCAACATACCTCTGTATTTGTTATGTATCTTAAAATTTTAGTATTTTATATTATGTTCTTTATACTAATCACATCCCTGTGCCATTAGTTACTGAACTTGTTTACCAGTTTACGTGATAAATTACATTTGTTTATGCATAAAAGATAAGATAGTAGAAGTAGAATGTTCAAACAGCATAAGGGAGAAATCTCAGTGGACCCTCGAATTTAGTAGTCCCCTCGAATTTAGTAGTCCTCTCGAATTTAGTAGTCCCCTCGAATTTAGTAGTCCCTTTTCTGTATGCAAAACTATTGTTATTCTCTATAAAATGTATTTTTTGTTAATATTTCCCATGAGAAATAATGTAAATCCAATTAAACCATTCCAGACACCCAAAAATATTTACAAAAAATACATTTTATAGAGAATAACAATAGTTTTGCATACAGAAAAGGGACTACTAAATTCGAGGGTCCACAATATTTTTCACTGAAGCCAGAATATTTTTTTCTCCTAGGTTCTGGATCCTCACACATGCACCTAAACGTTTTTGTTTCTTTTATTTTTTTGCATTGTGGAAGATTTCATTGTATTTTTGCTAACGAAATTGTTACAGTTGATTATGAGAGAAGAACTAGCCCAATCAATCACATGAAAGCGTTCTGATACAATGATAAAGTATTTCAGGATGCAACGGAATGTTTGTATTGTCTGTTACCGAACTTTATATTTCGCCCATTTTGTCCAAAGTGGAAGGAATCAAACCCTTTACATGGCATGTAGATGACAAAATAATATAATTCTGAAGGTTTTTCCTAAATAACTTTCTAACATGTTCTCTTAGGAAAACACTACATTTAAGTCAAAAGATATTATCACATGTACGTTATTCTCAATACTAAAAAATTATGATAAAGAACGAGTGAATATTATCATTCATTCTTTTGTTTTATTAAGTTTTTCTGTTATTATGGCAAATCTCAAAAAAAAAAAAAAATATTATATTTTAGTCAGTAATATAGTGTATTCAAAAGAGCTTGAAAATTACACTAGTCTGTATAGATTAATAAATTTTATGTATATACATATTTGGGTTTATGTATACGACTTTTCATTTTCTTTCATGGTATACAAAATTGCCTTTGGCTGGACAGTGACTGAGTGGAAGTTTGCCATACGTTATAGACACCATCCATCACCCATCCCACCACTCTTCCCTCGCTGCTCTCTTACCATCTTTATCACTGATCTATTCCACCTCCCTCACTGTTCCATTCCCAACTTTCTTACCGCTCCATTTCCACTTTCCTCACTGTTCCATTAACTACATCCTTTGTTAGGTAAGACACATATGCAACAGTTAGGTATCTTTATTTCGAAACGTTTCGCCTACACAATAGGCTTCTTCAGTCGAGTACAGAAAAGTTGATAGAAGCAGAAGAGACTTGAAGACGATGTAATCAGTCTATCACCCTTGAAGTTTTGAGGTGGTCAGTCCCTCAGTCTGGAGAAGAGTATTGTTCCATAGTCCGAAACAATATGGAGTAGAAGTGATAGGATGGAACCTTATATAGCGCCAGGAGGTGAGACGTAGGTCACTAGTAGAGGTAAGAACGTGGACGTTGGGAGGTCAGGTCCCTCTCAAATCCAGCCATTCTCACTAGTAGAGGTTGTCGAAGTTGATTTCAGGTCTGTACCAAGATACCCTTGTGTTGCAGTGTCTGACAGAGTGAACATTAAAATGGTAGAAAATACCGACAGGTTGTTAGGTAAGACACATATGCAACAGTTAGGTATCTTTATTTCAAAACGTTTCGCCTACACAGTAGGCTTCTTCAGTCGAGTACAGAAAAGTTGATAGAAGCAGAAGAGACTTGAAGACGACGTAATCAGTCCATCACCCTTGAAGTTTTGAGGTGGTCAATCCATTAGTCTGGAGAAGAGTATTGTTCCATAGTCCGAAACAATATGGAGTAGAAGTGATAGGATGGAGCCTTATATAGCGCCAGGGTATCTTGGTACAGACCTGAAATCAACTTCGACAACCTCTACTAGTGAGAATGGCTGGATTTGAGAGGGACCTGACCTCCCAACGTCCACGTTCTTACCTCTACTAGTGACCTACGTCTCACCTCCTGGCGCTATATAAGGCTCCATCCTATCACTTCTACTCCATATTGTTTCGGACTATGGAACAATACTCTTCTCCAGACTGAGGGACTGACCACCTCAAAACTTCAAGGGTGGTGGACTGATTACATCGTCTTCAAGTCTCTTCTGCTTCTATCAACTTTTCTGTACTCGACTGAAGAAGCCTACTGTGTAGGCGAAACGTTTCGAAATAAAGATACCTAACTGTTGCATATGTGTCTTACCTAACAACCTGTCGGTATTTTATACCATTTTAATGTTCAACTACCTCCTTTACTGTTACGTCCCTCCTACCCTCTCTCTGCCCCCTCACGGTTTCTTCCCCACCTCTCTCACCACTCCCTTGCAGTCTATTTCCCTCAACACTCCTATCTACCTACCTACCTACCGCTTCCTTGCTGTCTACCTCTTTTCCTGCTCTCGTCAACTCCACTCCCTCCCCACCGCTCTATTTCATCCTCGGTCTTTTCCCCTCCCAGCAGGGAAACCCAGGTTCTCAGCAAGACACTTTTTCAGGAGCACCATTATTTTGGTTCTGGTATGATTCACGCTCTGTACTGGGCGCTCTTCCATTGCCAGGTTGGGCCCCGTGCCCTAATGATACATTACTCTTTATTTATCATTATAGTTGACGGTGTACGCATCGGTTTATCTGCCTTAGGGTACTATTTTTTATGAACTGCTAAGTTTAAAGTATTATAAACACCAGTTGACGAAAATTAAAAAATCAATTGGACATCCGCAGGAGTCGTGAAGCACCTGAAGGAACTAGAGACAATCAGATTCGATCAAAGAAGGACCCTTTTTTTGGTTGTCGATTCAAGGAAACCCTTCTGTTTATTGAGCACCAAATATACAGAGTTCTTTCTACCTGTGTTACAAATGTGTGATCACGTGACCTCTTATTTTTTATATTAATAGGTGTCTGATCTGTGTTTACTTTTGATGATGTAAGGATGGGTGGCGGCCTCGCAGGACGCTGGTCTTCTGCAGTTGGGGCGCTGAAGAGTATGGTCTCATAGGCTCCACGGAGTGGACAGAGCAGTTCACTACACACCTCAAGAGTCGAGCCATCGCCTACCTCAATGTTGACATGGTATTTGATGGTAGGTATGTGGTGTGAGTATATATGTGCGGTTGTCATTAGGCACAAGAACAGGGTTTCAGGTGGTGCCGGCGCTATTTTGTTTGCCGTGATGCAATCTCGTTAATGAGGGGAAAAGAGCTAAACCCGTAGGAGGGTCATACAACACCTGGAGATTTTTTTTCTTTTTGTAACACACCGGCCGCCTTCCACAGAGATATGGTGACCCGAAAAAGAAGAAACGTTTTCTCCATCACTCACCACCACCGGTTTGCAAGAGCCTAGCCAACATTATGGCTCAGATGCCCCTCCAAACTGCAGTATCTCCACCCGTCTAGAGTACAGGCACTGTACTTCCCACCTCGAGGACTAAAGTCCGGCTAACCAGTTTCTCTGAATCCTTTCACAAATGTTACCTTGCTTACGCTCCAACAGCACCTCAAGTCATAAAAACCATTTGCCTCCACTTACCCCTACCTAACACGATCACACACGCCTGTTGAATGTCCAAACCCCTCGCATAAAAAAAAAACTCCTTTACACCCTCCCTCCAGCCTTTCCTAGGACGACCTCTATCCCTCATTCACTCCAGCGCAGATTTATGCTCCCTCCATTCTCTCTAAATGTCTAAAACCAAGTCAACGACCCCTCCTCAGCCCTCTGGATAATTATTTTAGTACTCCCACACTTCCTTTCATTATCCAAACCACGAATTCTTTTCATAATATTCTCATTATACATTGTCCTCAAATACGACATCTTCACTGCATCCAACCTCATCCTTGTTGCAACATTTAGCATCCAAGCTTCACACACATATTAGAGCGTTTGTACTACTGTACTAAGATACATTTCTCTTTTTGCCTCCAAAGATGTCTCAGTGCGCCACTCAACTTTTTTTTCCTCATCAGTTCTTTGGTTCGCCTCGTCTTTCTTAGAATCATCCACCGATAAGTCTAATCCCAAATATACAAACACTTTCACTTCTTCCATATTCCCTTCTTCCAATCGCCCAAAAGCTCATTGTCATGAGCAAAAGCAACTTGAATAACTCCCACTTTTACAACCCCATCTATAAATATATTAAACTACCATAGTAACAACACGCGTCCCTCTCTGAGACCTACTTTTGCTGGAAAATAATCTCCCTCTTCCTACAAACTCTAGGCTGACCTCAGGTTAGTTGGGTAGGACTATGCTGCAGTAATTATTGCATTACTTAGTCAGAGGCCAGGTCGCTAGGCTGGGTTGGTAGAGAAAAGGTAAAAAGGTGCACAAATTGTAAATTCGGAGTTGGCATGCACAAACACATCTCTCAGTCCACACCAGGATTCGAACCTTTGCATAAAAGTACATAGTAGTATCCTGTTGTGGACTGGGAGATAATATTTGTAAATCATTTCTCTCGTTTGCGAATTGTTAAACATGCATTAATAAAAATGCAGTTACATTATTAATTGAGTATACGCATAAATATAATTATTCTCATACTGACATACTCATAACGTAGACAGTACTGTTTAAGCACATGTAAGGAACTGTTGCTAATGGTAGCACATGTACTAGTAGAGCACACTGGAACAAGCATTCATTATCTGCACTTCAGCATGTCAACATGTCCAACACGTCAAGCACATGCGGAAGCAATACACAAAAGTGTAATATAATGAGAGAGGCAATAATTAGGAAAAAATTGTACACGCTCACGCGCGCGTGTACACACACACACACACACACACACACACACACACACACACACACACTATATACCTGTGTCATTGACGTGTATAGTATGCAAAATTATGGAGAAGATTATCAGGAGGAGAGTGGTGGAGCACCTGGAACGGAACAGGAGTATAAATGCCAACCAGCACGGATTCACGGAAGGCAAATCCTGTGTCACAAACCTTCTGGAGTTTTATGATAAAATAACAGAAGTAAGACAAGAGAGAGAGGGGTGGGTTGATTGCATCTTCTTGGACTGCAAGAAGGCCTTTGACACAGTTCCTCACAAGAGATTAGTGCAGAAGCTAGAGCATCAGGCGCATATAACAGGAAGGGCACTGCAATTGGATCAGAGAATACCTGACAGGGAGGCAACAACGAGTCATGGTACGTAATGATGTATCACAGTGGGCACCTGTGACGAGCGGGGTCCCACAGGGGTCGGTCCTAGGACCAGTGCTATTTTTGGTATATGTGAACGACATGACGGAAGGGTTAGACTCAGAAGTGTTCCTGTTTGCAGATGATGTGAAGTTAATGAGGAGAATTAAATCTGATGAGGACCAGGCAGGACTTCAAAGAGACCTGGACAGACTGGACACCTGGTCCAGCAAATGGCTTCTCGAATTTAATCCTGCCAAATGCAAAGTCATGAAGATAGGGGAAGGGCACAGAAGACCACAGACAGAGTATAGGCTAGGTGGCCAAAGACTGCAAACCTCACTCAAGGAGAAAGATCTTGGGGTGAGTATAACACCGAGCATGTCTCCGGAAGCACACATCAATCAGATAACTGCTGCAGCATATGGGCGCCTGGCAAACCTGAGAACAGCATTCCGACACCTTAGTAAGGAATCATTCAAGACACTGTACACCGTGTATGTCAGGCCCATACTGGAGTATGCAGCACCTGTTTGGAACCCGCACTTGATAAAGCACGTCAAGAAACTAGAGAAAGTACAAAGGTTTGCAACAAGGTTAGTTCCAGAGCTAAGGGGAATGTCCTATGAAGAAAGATTAAGGGAAATCGGCCTGACGACACTGGAGGACAGGAGGGTCAGGGGAGACATGATAACGACATATAAAATACTGCGTGGAATAGACAAGGTGGACAAGGACAGGATGTTCCAGGGAGGGGACACAGAAACAAGAGGCCACAATTGGAAGTTGAAGACACAAATGAGTCAGAGAGATAGTAGGAAGTATTTCTTCAGTCATAGAGTTGTAAGGCAGTGGAATAGCCTAGAAAATGACGTAGTGGAGGCAGGAACCATACACAGTTTTAAGACGAGGTTTGATAAAGCTCATGGAGCGGGGAGAGAGAGGGCCTAGTAGCAACCGGTGAAGAGGCGGGGCCAGGAGCTAGGACTCGACCCCTGCAACCACAAATAGGTGAGTACAAATAGGTGAGTACACACACACACAGAATTATGTCTTCCCCAGTGTTAAATGCAACAACTGCAACAAGTGTGACTGAGAAACTTGGGATAAATCTTCCACATACAAAACAATCTTGATTTCTCTCTTCCGTTGTCTACCAAGAAAGTGACTGAAAGAAGGATACCAGTTTACCATCTCTCAGTCAGTAGTTGTCTTGCCAAAAGTGGGTTATTGAATCACAACAACCCATCCATTCCTGCACTGTTCTATCCACTTCCAGAACTCGAGTCAGTGTAACCGATTTTAATGTATCCAGTTTGACGGATAAAAAAAAAATTAAAAAAATTATTATTGCTCTTAACAGGAACTTACAGTTTCATCTCGATGGCGTCGCCGCTGCTGTACGATGTTGTGATAACGGAGACACAGAAGGTTCCTAACCCTGACCCTGAGGAAGTGGCAGCAGGACGCCCAACACTGTACGACACTTGGCTCTTCCGTCACCCAGACCCTCAGCATCCGGGAAGACCCAGGTCAGTTCTTAGTGGAGTCACTAAGTGGAGTCACTGAAGCGACAGAGCTCAAGCCATGAAACTTGACCTCTTCTAACATTCAGTTATCTGATTTGATCTAAAACTCTCAATATCTTTTATGTTTGTGAATAGATTTTTATTCCAAATTATGAAACCAAGGATAAATTCATGATTTATCTAGAGGCATAAAAGTGTTTTCTGGTATATCTTTAACAATTTAGGTATTTAGTCTTTATTTACGTTCATTCCTCCTAGTCTATGTACCTTAAATAAATCGCAATAAAACGGGTAAATGCAAACATGAAAAAACCTTCATACATTGAAAATATAAAGTGGAAAACCCGATGGCTTTCATGTGTTTTATATATATTTTCAGAGGAATAGGAAAAAGTGGCAAGAGAAGAATATTTTATATGTTACAAAGTGAGATGATTCTTCACTTGAGTATCACACAAGTGAGGTGACACTTCAGAGTTTAATTTAAAATCAGCCATAAAGTTCACATCATCTATGTACCGAATTATTTAATATATCGTAATAGTACTTCCTCTTGTTCTTCTCTAATTCAGCGTTGTGAGACAATGTTTGCAAAACAAACATTGTATACCGTTTATTACCTTTGAAATGAGACCAAAATAACCATTCTTAGTTAATATACAGAGGAATAAGATTAAATAATGTGCTCAGATTTTATTATAATCATGAAGAAGTGCTAAACTCGTAGGATTATCCTTCACCTTCGAGTTCAAGTATATAAATGCTCCACAAGAACTACAAGATCAGCCGAGAAGCCTGGAACTACAGATCCCAGGTTATGCCGGGTCTTCAGCAGCGAGGGCACCTAGAATCCACCCCAGCACAAATATACAGGAAGTATTAGCCAAGAAGTCAGTAAAAAATTTTGACTGCTGCACTGATTAGATTAATTCCTAGGATTATATAACTTATTAAACATAATGCACAACAATATTCAAATTTTATTATTATATGTTGACAATTTTATATTCCAAAATATAGTTGCTAAACTTAAGAGTGAATATGCTTTCACAGAAGAACCAATATGCCTTAGGGAATTCGGATATGTTGCCGTCATTGCACTGCATCTCACTTTGCTCTAGGCATGGGCAAGTAGGCCTCTTTCAATGTTCCTATGTGCAGCAACTGCCCTACGAAATTAAATTATTTTCTTATTTTTCTTACACTTGGCACTGCAACTCGGTCAGCTCTGTGCAAGGACCAGTAGACCTCCTGCAGTGTTCCTCAACATCTAGTGTAGGCGAGTAGGCTTAATAAAGTCCTTTTCTGTATAAATTTTGCATAAAAGAATCAACTCACCTAGTAGAGTATGAAATATACTTCCTTTCAATCTTGTATCAAGTTAATAACAAAAAAAGGCACAATACCGTGACTGGAACGATACACAAATAACCCGCACATAGAAGAGAGGAGCTTACGACGACGTTTCGGTCCGACTTGGACCATTTACAAAGTCATATTGACGAAAAGGAGAGCAGGAAGGGTATATACAGGCAGGAGGTAGTAGTGGTAGTAGAGGTACTACTACTTCCTTCCGCCTCCACTACCTCTACTACTACCACCACTACTACCTCCTGCCTATATATATACCCTTCCTGCTCTTCTTACCGTTAGTGTGACTTTGTAAATGGTCCAAATCGGACCGAAACGTCGTCGTGAGCTCCTCTCTTCTATGTGCTGGTTATTTGTATATTTCATCAAGTTGTTCTGAAGATGTGTGTTTAAGCACATGAAAGAATTCAGGTATCTCTGTTTATTGTTTTTCACTGAGGTATTTTTATTATGATGTTGAACTTTTTATAATTCTTCATTCATGACCTAACTTTCAGAGTTCTTGATGTAAAATACTTTACTTACAACTAATCAGCTCTCATTTTATTGTAGGTTTCTAGGTATTAATGATGGCAGTGACTTTTCTAGTTTCCAGCACATATTAGGCATTCCCTGTATGGACATGTACTACACTGCTGCTGATGTGAGTCACTCAGGGATCAAGTTGTAAATATATATATATATATTATATAATATATTATATATATATATATATATATATATATATATATATATATATATATATATATATATTATATATATATATATATATATATAATATATATATATACATATATATATAGTATACATATATATATATATGTATATATATATATATATATTAATATATATATTATATATATATAATATTATAATATATATATATATATATATATATATATATATATATATATATATATATATATATATATATATATATATATATATATATATATATATATATATATATATATATATATATATATATGTCGTGCCGAATACGTAAAACTTGCGATTATCTAAACTATATTTAGTTGGATTAGGCTAAATTAAATTTCACTTGTTTTAATAAAGTTGTGCCCAAGAGCAACAGACATAATGAGAAGGTCAGTACGAGTCCTGGGTTCACCCAAAGGCGTAGAGGCTAAAACCAAGTGAAAGAAGTATAGAAGGCAAGGACCAAGGAGAGTAAGGAGAGCAGTCGAAGAGCAAGTTTTCTAAGGTCCTTTTGGAACAAAAGTGTTAATTTTTACATTATCATAAATGAAAAAAAATATCTGTAAACGTATAAGGGAAAATTTTAGAGAGGATTTAATTTTGAATGAGTTCTTGCTAATTGACCAGTTTTACCTATTAGACACGACATATATATATAATATATATATATATATATATATATATATATATATATATTATATATATATATATATATATATATATATATATATATATATATATATACATGTAGAGATTTTAACCATTCAATTGATTTTCAAAAAGTTGAGAAAGTAGTATCAAGCAAGTCCATGGTCGACAGGAATATAATTGAATCTTGTTTCATAAAAAGCAGTTTTGACAATAATATGAATATTTCCTTTGGTTTATATAAATTAGAGCCATTTATAATTAATAGAATTTGGGAAGAATTTAATAATACATTGGACAAATAATAATTTTTAAAATTCTTATTTCTTGGGCAGAATAGTTTGTTGGTGGGTTGTGTGAAGGACCTGTCTAGTTGGGCCGGCGGGCCTGCTGCAGTGTTCCCTTTCTTATGAGTCGCGCGTCAGGTGTTTCTTTGTTGTGAAATCTGATAGTGAGGTGTGGGCTACCCCTTTATATACCTTCCTTTGATGCTTTACTTTCATTGTTCCTTAATAATGTGAGTAGTCACCAAAGCGCTTGGAATTTCTCTATTCTTTTACAGTGGTTGTTTTGCATATTCTGAAATCACCTGTTTACTGTGATCTTATTGCATATATATATATATATATATATATATATATATATATATATATATATATATAGAGAGAGAGAGAGAGAGAGAGAGAGAGAGAGAGAGAGAGAGAGAAGAGAGAGAGAGAGAGAGAAGAGAGAGAGAGAGAGAGAGAGAGAGAGAGAGAGACAGAGAGAGAGAGAGACAGAGAGAGAGAGAGAGAGAGAGAGAGAGAGAGAGAGAGAGAGAGAGAGAGGAGAGAGAGAGAGTGACTATAAAATATCCATTTCCTTTCTTAATTAATCTTTCTCTTTATCAATATATTTCCCTAGGATGAATCCTCACTGCCTCTTTACCACACACTGTACGAGACCTTCCACCTGGCAGCTGAAATCTACGACCCTCAGATGAACTACCACTTGGCCCTCACCCAGTCCTGGGCCTTGATAGCTCTCTCCTTAGCACAGGTGAGCTAGAGTTAACGCAATTACAGCACTCATAGGATAGGTGTGTGTGTGACTCCTGGAACAAATCAATGAGTATTGAAACCTGTGGAGAACTCGTTCATGTGGATTTTTTTTGAAAAGCAGTGAGGTAATCTGAACACTCCCGTTTTTCCCGACCTTTGTCGAATGTCCCCTGTTTATCCGTCCATCTACCCTAGATTTTCCCCACCGAGTCACCCTTCCCTATACCTGGAGTGTTGCGGGAGTCAGAGCCCCCGCGGCAAGGTCCATGACCAGGCCTCGGTGTAAAAATTACGAAACCGCCTTCCAATTTATTAATTTTGTGTTTTCTGCAAATATTTACTTTGTTTTCAGCCGAGACAATTATGTTGTCAGTAGCATCCCCCCCCCCTCGCTGCAACATTAAAAAAAACCATGCAGTAGCAGCCCCCTCGCTGCAACATTAAAAAACCATGCCTCATAAATGCATACAGTCGTGTCGACACCACTACGTTCTGATATATTTAATTTTTGAATTCACTGAAAAACTTCTCGCATCTTTCATAGGTGCATCTGCTATCACATCATCTCCCCATTATACCCCTTCCTGTTGCTCTGTTCTAAGTATTTCATACCCTAAACGTCCACTTACTCCCGTCAACCTATTTTTTTTCCCTGTCTCACCCCTCAACTTTTTTCTTTTTCTATATACAGTGAGACTCATCTGAAACTTTTGTAGCGTGTCTTCTATATCTCCCAAACATATTGTATCATCCACAAACAACAAATATAGCATTTTTCATTTTATATCTTTTTTTTTTTATCTTTTAAGATCGCATTACGAGATAACGATATAATTGTTTTGATCTTATAACTCAGCCCATTAGTACATAAAACAATCATGATGACACTACACAATCCTCTCTCATGTCTAGTCTTAGTAGAATATTATTCTCTTCATTAAAACTATTAACTGCTTTATAAAACTTACCATTTAGTTGCAGACAAATTGTTTCCCTAATCAACCTATCCTTTGCCTCTTCAAAACCAATAAATTATCTCTCAGTCCACAGCAGGACTCGAACCTGCACACGCTACATCAAAGTACGCAGTACTTTAGCCACACAAACAGACCCCAGAAAATACGTACAGGTGTCTAGCCGAATCTAGAGGGTGGCTCCAATAGCCCGGTCTTGGGTATGGGACTGTAAACTTACCATAATTTAAAGGCTCATAGGATTCACAGCAGGTCAGGCATCTACAACTCTATTGCTAATCCTGGCAGTAAAGTTGTAGATCTTATGTGAATGTTTTACCTTGCAAAGACCATCACTGCGGGACGGATGTTACGGGTGCAACTTGACTAAGTGATAAGTGTGGCGTGGCTCAATCTGTGTATATTACCAGCTGTATTGGGAAGTAGGTTTGGCCAGAGCGGCTACTCAGGTAATTTGTAAGACAGTGAAGAAAAGTTTTACTAATTGTTGTATCTCGAGGAGTTTGGCACAAATATAATATTTCTGGCCTGATATTAATAACCAGGAGAGTGAAGCTTGTCTTAAAATTGTTTAGTGTAATTGGCAGATGAACTTAGAGGCTGAGGGTAGGTGAGAAAGGGGTGGGGTGGGAGGAGAGAGGGAGAGGGAGAGGAAGAGGGAAAAGATAATGGTATGGAGGTGAAAGAGAGATGGAAGGAGGAGGTTGTAGACCATCAGTTAAACAAGGGAGAGGGAGGTGGAGAGAGAGAGGGGAGAGAGAGAGAGAGAAAGAGAGAGAGAGAGAAAGAGAGAGAGAGAAAGAAGGGTAAAGGTAGAGGGAGCAGAGAGAGAAGAGGAAAGGTGAAGGGAACAGAGAGAGAATGGAGGTGGAAGAAGGGGAAGAGAAGAAGAGAGGGAGGGAATAATTGGGGGTGAAGATATGAGAAGAGAAGAATAAGGAACAGAGGAAGCAAGCAAGCACGAAACCTTGTATGACTCATTGTTCAGTGAGCCATTAACCAGCTTAATGATAGATGATCCAAACAATTTTTTCATGAATGAGCCTCAAAACCCTGCCAATGTAGGCCAGATTTATGACATAACTCTAACTCCACTAGACTTTGAGAAAGCCATCGACGACATGCCCATGTACTCAGCCCCAGGCCCAGACTAGTGGAACTCGGTGTTCATTAAAAACTGCAAGAAACCCCTCTCACGGGCCCTAAGTATGCTATGGAGAAGGAACTTAGACACAGGCGAGATTCCACAGTCACTAAAAACAACAGATATAGCCCCACTCCATAAAGGTGGCAGCAAAGCAGTAGCTAAGAACTATAGACCAATAGCTTTAACGTCCCACATCATAAAAATCTTTGAAAGAGTTCTAAGAAGCAGGATAGCAAACCACCTGGACTCCCAAAAATTGCACAACCCAGGGCAACATGGTTTCAGAGCAGGTAGCTCCTGCCTTTCGCAACTGCTTGACCACTATGATATGGTCCTAGATGCACTGGAAAACAAACAAAATGCGGATGTAGTATACACAGATTTTGCAAAAGCCTTTGACAAGTGCGACCATGGTGTAATAGCACACAAAATGCGTGCTAAAGGGATAACCGGCAAAGTAGGCAGATGGATCTTCAACTTTCTAACCAATCGCACACAAAGAGTAGTGGTAAACAGAGTTAAATCAGATGCTGCCATAGTGAAGAGCTCTGTCCCACAAGGCACAGTACTCGCACCTATCCTGTTCCTTATTCTCATATCAGACATAGACAGAGATGTAAACCACAGCGCTGTATCATCTTTTGCAGACGATACTAGGATCTGCATGAGAGTGTCATCCATTGAGGACACTGTTAACCTCCAAGAAGATATAAACCAAGTTTTCCAATGGGCAACGGAGAACAATATGATGTTCAATGAAGACAAATTCCAACTACTCCGTTATGGAAAACTGGAGGAAATAATAACTAGAACTGAGTATACTACAAACTCCAATCACACAATAGAGAGGAAAAGTAATGTGAGAGACCTGGGAGTGGTAATGTCAGAGGATCTGCTAGGAAACTGATAGGATGGATAATGAGAACATTCAAGACAAGAGATGCTAAGCCACTGATGATCCTTTTTAAATCACTTATTCTTTCAAGGCTGGAATACTGCTGTACATTAACATCCCCATTCAAGGCAGGTGAAATTGCAGAGCTAGAGAATGTACAGAGAACCTTTACTGCACGTATAAGTTCCATCAAACACCTTAACTACTGGGAACGCCTGGAAGCACTTGACTTGTACTCAATAGAGCGCAGGCGAGAGAGATATATCATAATCTACACCTGGAAGATTCTGGAGGGACTGGTCCCTAATATGCACACAGCAATCACTCCATACGAAAGCAAAAGACTTGGCAGGCGATGCAACATACCCCCAGTGAAAAGTAGGGGCGTCACTGGTACACTAAGAGAAAACACAATAAGTGTCCGGGGCCCAAGACTGTTCAACAGCCTCCCACCAGCAATAAGGAGCATTACGGGAAGACCCCTGGTTGTCTTCAAGAGGGAGCTGGACAGATACCTAAAGACGGTGCCGGATCAGCCGGGCTGTGGTTCGTACGTTGGATTACGTGCGGCCAGCAGTAACAGCCTCGTTGATCAGGCCCTGATCCACCGGGAGGCCTGGTCGTGGACCGGGCCGCGGGGACGTTGATCCCCGGAATTTCCTCCAGGTAGACTCCAGGTAGGTTGTAAATCTGTCTTAAACACACACACACATAACAAAATATAGTCAAGTGTCTATCGACAAGTGACTTTGACAATTAGTATATACTACTACTAGTAGTCCCTGAGCTAAGGGGTATGTCCTTTGAAAGGGATTAAGGGAACTCAACCTGACGACACTGGAGGAAAGGAGAGATAGGGTGGATATGATAATGACGCATAAAATACTGAGAGGAATTGACATTGTGGACAGGGACAGAATGTTTCAGAGATGGGATACAGGAGCAAGTGGGCACAACTGGAAGCTGAAAACTCAGATGAGTCATAGGGATGTTAGGAAGTATTTCTTCAGCATTAGCGTTGTCAGGAACAATCTGGAGAGTGAAGTAGTGGAGCCAGGATCCATACATAGCTTTGAGAAGAGGTTCGATAAAGCTCATGGAGCAGGGAGAGAGGGGACCTAGTAGCGACCAGCGAAGAGGCGGGGCCAGGAACTGTGAATCAACCCCTGCAACCACAAATTAGTGAATACACATTCACCTTCCCCCCTCCCCTCTGCTCAACGAGACAGACGCAGGAGCCTAAATATGCTCTTCCCTTCTTCCTCAGAAAACTTTGATTCCCTTCAGTGTTGAGTCGTACGGAGAGTTCCTGAAGGACGCGCTCATCCCAATAGATGAAAATTACGGCTACTTGCTCAACCAGACCAGCACACAGTACGGTAAGTAAACAAACACATTTTACTTAATTTATGAAGTACTTGAACACTCACTTTATTCAGTTTTAAATATATTCCATAGTTTATAGTAGCCTACATTTACTGGCTTCACAACTAAATTTACCGCTGTTATAGCAGTTCAGTTTAAACCGAACTTACCAGGTATATTCGAACTATATCAGTTTCCATCAAGAATTACAGTTAATTAGATCAGTGTTAGGACAGTGGTTCTCCACGTATTTTCGTTGATTCTTACGTTGGTCAATTTTACTTAGAGAAAAGCTTGGATTGATTCTAATCTGTGTAGACCCTAGTTCGCGTTTTTCTGGAAGAAATTACAGAAATGCAATACCGTTTTTCATACGATAATTTCTGAGTGATGCACCTGCTTAGATTCAAGTTTTTCAAGCTTATTAATGCCTCCCATTGGTGGCATAAGTCCCAGTTTGCTAATTTTATTGAATAAATGTTATTCATTTTTTTATTCAATAACTAACGAATGCTTCTACTATGTTTTAGGATACTGCTTTCTTTGAAAGTTTTCAACTTGATTTGGACCGTATATGCCCTAATTTGCATTTTTTAAGAAAATGTGATGACTTGTAAATGCCTGTTCTGATTCCCTTCAAATCTTCAACACTAATATTTAACTACATTATCAACTTATGCCGCACTCTGCACTGAGGCACGAGGAACTGAGATTATGGAATACAGGGCTGCTTTCCTGGGATCTGGTGTGGTTACAAAGACATCACCAAATGAACTGGAAGGCATTGAGAAACGCTTCATAAAAATATTCGTAAAATTATTCCGTTGTGTATTTATAACGTAGTTACATTGAAATCTAGAAAACTTTTGATAGTATACCACAGAGAGGGAGGTAAAGTAAGTTTACATGGGATGAAAGTTTAGGTCATGATAATGGTCTTCATGAAGGTTCTCATGCAGGCTGTGTGAGCATACTATCCTCACCTCATCTGTCTTGACAGATATAGTGCTAGACAACTTAGTAGTTTTATTTCCTCAGCACAAAACTTTTTTTGGATGCGAGAAGTGGGTCATAATAAGTGTGTAGAAGAGAGGAATGCAGAGGAGAGAGAGAGATTTTGGGAGATGTTAAGTGAATGTATAGGAGCCTTTGAACCAAGTGAGAGAGTAATTGTGGTAGGGGACCTGAATGCTAAAGTAGGAGAAACTTTTAGAGAGGGTGTGGTAGGTAAGTTTGGGGTGCCAGGTGTAAATGATAATGGGAGCCCTTTGATTGAACTTTTTATAGAAAGGGGTTTAGTTATAGGTAATACATATTTTAAGAAAAAGAGGATAAATAAGTATACAAGATATGATGTAGGGCGAAATGACAGTAGTTTGTTGGATTATGTATTGGTAGATAAAAGACTGTTGAGTAGACTTCAGGATGTACATGTTTATAGAGGGGCCACAGATATATCAGATCACTTTCTAGTTGTAGCTACACTGAGAGTAAAAGGTAGATGGGATAAAGGAGAATAGAAGCATCAGGGAAGAGAGAGGTGAAGGTTTATAAACTAAAAGAGGAGGCAGTTAGGGTAAGATATAAACAGCTATTGGAGGATAGATGGGCAAATGAGAGCATAGGCAAGGGGGTCGAAGAGGTATGGGGTAGGTTTAAAAATGTAGTGTTAGAGTGTTCAGCAGAAGTTTGTGGTTACAGGAAAGTGGGTGCGGGAGGGAAGAGGAGCGATTGGTGGAATGATGATGTAAAGAGAGTAGTAAGGGAGAAAAAGTTAGCATATGAGAAGTTTTTACAAAGTAGAAGTGATGCAAGGAGGGAAGAGTATATGGAGAAAAAGAGAGAGGTTAAGAGAGTGGTGAAGCAATGTAAAAAGAGAGCAAATGAGAGAGTGGGTGAGATGTTATCAACAAATTTTGTTGAAAATAAGAAAAAGTTTTGGAGTGAGATTAACAAGTTAAGGAAGCCTAGAGAACAAATGGATTTGTCAGTTAAAAATAGGAGAGGAGAGTTATTAAATGGAGAGTTAGAGGTATTGGGAAGATGGAGGGAATATTTTGAGGAACTGTTGATGAAGATAGGGAAGCTGTGATTTCGTGTATAGGGCAAGGAGGAATAACATCTTGCAGGAGTGAGGAAGAGCCAGTTGTGAGTGTGGAGGAAGTTCGTGAGGCAGTAGGTAAAATGAAAGGGGGTAAGGCAGCCGGGATTGATGGGATAAAGATAGAAATGTTAAAAGCAGGTGGGGATATAGTTTTGGAGTGGTTGGTGCAATTATTTAATAAATGTATGGAAGAGGGTAAGGTACCTAGGGATTGGCAGAGAGCATGCATAGTTCCTTTGTATAAAGGCAAAGGAGATAAAAGAGAGTGCAAAAATTATAGGGGGATAAGTCTGTTGAGTATACCTGGTAAAGTGTATGGTAGAGTTATTATTGAAAGAATTAAGAGTAAGACGGAGCATAGGATAGCAGATGAACAAGGAGGCTTTAGGAAAGGTAGGGGGTGTGTGGACCAGGTGTTTACATTGAAACATATAAGTGAACAGTATTTAGATAAGGCTAAAGAGGTCTTTGTGGCATTTATGGATTTGGAAAAGGCGTATGACAGGGTGGATAGGGGGGCAATGTGGCAGATGTTGCAGGTGTATGGTGTAGGAGGTAGGTTACTGAAAGCAGTGAAGAGTTTTTACGAGGATAGTGAGGCTCAAGTTAGAGTATGTAGGAAAGAGGGAAATTATTTCCCAGTAAAAGTAGGCCTTAGACAAGGATGTGTGATGTCACCGTGGTTGTTTAATATATTTATAGATGGGGTTGTAAGAGAAGTGAATGCGAGGGTCTTGACAAGAGGCGTGGAGTTAAAAGATAAAGAATCGCACACAAAGTGGGAGTTGTCACAGTTGCTCTTTGCTGATGACACTGTGCTCTTGGGAGATTCTGAAGAGAAGTTGCAGAGATTGGTGGATGAATTTGGTAGGGTGTGCAAAAGAAGAAAATTAAAGGTGAATACAGGAAAGAGTAAGGTTATGAGGATAAAAAGATTAGGTGATGAAAGATTGGATATCAGATTGGAGGGAGAGAGTATGGAGGAGGTGAATGTATTCAGATATTTGGGAGTGGACGTGTCAGCGGATGGGTCTATGAAAGATGAAGTGAATCATAGAATTGATGAGGGGAAAAGGGTGAGTGGTGCACTTAGGAGTCTGTGGAGACAAAGAACTTTGTCCTTGGAGGCAAAGAGGGGAATGTATGAGAGTATAGTTTTACCAACGCTCTTATATGGGTGTGAAGCATGGGTGATGAATGTTGCAGCAAGGAGAAGGCTGGAGGCAGTGGAGATGTCATGTCTGAGGGCAATGTGTGGTGTGAATATAATGCAGAGAATTCGTAGTTTGGAAGTTAGGAGGAGGTGCGGGATTACCAAAACTGTTGTCCAGAGGGCTGAGGAAGGGTTGTTGAGGTGGTTCGGACATGTAGAGAGAATGGAGCGAAACAGAATGACTTCAAGAGTGTATCAGTCTGTAGTGGAAGGAAGGCGGGGTAGGGGTCGGCCTAGGAAAGGTTGGAGGGAGGGGGTAAAGGAGGTTTTGTGTGCGAGGGGCTTGGACTTCCAGCAGGCATGCGTGAGCGTTTTTGATAAGAGTGAATGGAGACAAATGGTTTTTAATACTTGACGTGCTGTTGGAGTGTGAACAAAGTAACATTTATGAAGGGGTTCAGGGAAACCGGCAGGCCGGACTTGAGTCCTGGAGATGGGAAGTACAGTGCCTGCACTCTGAAGGAGGGGTGTTAATGTTGCAGTTTAAAAACTGTAGTGTAAAGCACCCTTCTGGCAAGACAGTGATGGAGTGAATGATGGTGAAAGTTTTTCTTTTTCGGGCCACCCTGCCTTGGTGGGAATCGGCCAGTGTGATAATAATAATAAAAAAATAATAAATAACTTTTATATATGCTGTAAGCCTTCCTCTTCTTTCTTTCCTATCTTTAAAAACCACTAGTAAGTGAAATATATCTTAAGCCAATATACCCAGATATTGTACATGTGTCTCACTCATACTCTGACTCATCGATGCTTGTTGTTCACACTGTTCAGAGTACTTCAAAGAGGCTGTCATTACCTTTGCCTCTGCCACTAAGAACTGGACTACCACGTTGTCTCGAGTCGACCTGCAAAAGTGAGTAGACCTCGGTTATGAAATTCTTGTTAACCTCTTTTGATAACAGCGTCATAAACACTGATAAATGAAACGGTAAATTCCATGTGGGGGAAAAACAGAATGAAAGAACTCTCTCTCTCTCTCTCTCTCTCTCTCTCTCTCTCTCTCTCTCTCTCTCTCTCTCTCTCTCTCTCTCTCTCTCTCTCTCTCTCTCTCTCTCTCTCTCTCTCTCTCTCTCTCTCTCTCTCTCTCTCTCTGTCCTCTACATATTCATCACTACATGTACTATCCTCACAGTGCCCTGGCGGTGAGAGCAGCCAACGACGCCATGATGATGCTAGACAGAGCTTTTCTGGACCCCCGCGGCCTACCTGGCCGACCACATTACAAGTGAGTCACAGTGAGGCAGTGTAGTACAATCTTTGTGTCATAATGCTCACAGACGGCTGATCCCGGATATTGAAGCTACCCTCGTCTACCTCGAATCAAAGATGATTACCTCCTTTCAAAAGCCATTTAAAACTACTGAGACTTAACGTTCCTAAACTTAATGATGAAGACACAAGAGCAACATCTGCTGCGTGTACAGCAGTTTTTTCAAGTCTAGTAGACCATTCCTGGCGGTAACACAATGTATTGATGGGAGAAACACAAGTCAGATATTAACGCATGAATTTTACAGATATTTGAGAGACACTGCAGCAGGCCTACTGGCACATCTGGTAGATCTTGAGATTCTCCTTCATGTTGAGTTGCTAGTAATAGTAGTAGTTGGTAGCTCTCAGTAGTTTAATATATGTATTACCAAATGCTTGCCAACTAGAAGCTTACGTGTTTCTGTGTGATCGTGATGGACGTCTTGATGAGAAAATCTTCAGATTATTTTCTCTTCTATTTTCTTTTTAAATTTACTACAGGTTTTGAATTGGAATATCTCATTATATGGATACACTCTGGGATACGCGCATTGTTTTGTCCTCGTATTTATGCTCAATGATGAATTTACTTAAGCTTCTGATGGTTTCTCCCACGTAAATCTTGTCACAGCCACCGCACTGAATTGGTATTGTTTTTCTATCTAGGGAAGTAATGGACAGTAGATGAAGTCTCACACCCATTTTCTCGTTGGCATGATTTAAAAATCTTGATGTTGGAGGCAACATCACATGTAGGAAAAATAATATACTTTTTTGCAAGTTTAGGGTGCTTTCAAAATTTTGATGGCACCTTTTCCACATCATATTGAAGAATAATAAGTATTACATTTTTTTTTTTATATTTTTGATGGTTACACACTTGAAGTAAACATGGGCTGCAAATCCAATACACGCTTAGGAAAAATTCCATTCATACACCTGTTCTTGACCAAACATAAATGATGCTGGGTAAGATACATATCCAACATTGTAGTTATAGTTACTGCCGAATCGTTTCGCCTTTGCAGTGAACTTCATCAGTCAAATACATGGTAATTGTGATACTAGAAGCAGTAAAAGTAACCGGGCAGATGACCGACGGACACCTGGCTAACAAACATTTGACCGAAGAACAATTGGCCGAACGGATATTTCACCTCACGGACAATAGATCGAACAGATAATTAATAGAACAGACATTTGGTCTAATGAACATATGGCCTTTTTTAATTTTGTTTGTTACGTTAGGTTATTCTTCTTTGTAAATCGAAAAATGTCCGTTCGGTGAGATGACCCATTGGATTCTAGCACTTTTTTATAAATATAATAATAATAATAATAATAATAATAATAATAATAATAATAATAATAATAATAATAATAATAACAATGTTAATAACTGTAAAATTAGTCTCTCTCTATTTCTATCCCAGTCTTTCTCTCTCTCTCTCTCTCTCTCTCTCTCTCTCTCTCTCTCTCTCTCTCTCTCTCTCTCTCGAATTATTTGCACTTGCAATGTTGTTCCCTTCCCTCCAGTACTCTCCCACTAACTACACTGTCAAACTCTTCACAGTCACGTGGTCACTGCTCCCAGTATGGTAAACTCCTATACTACTGACACCTTCGCGGGGCTTCAAGACCTTCTCTATGACCTGGAATCCTTAACCCCTGAGGAGCAGGTTCTTCGCTGGCGTCAGGTGAAGGAACATCTGGCCGCTGTGACCCACTTCACTCTCGCCGCTGCTAACATCCTCTCTTACGAGCTCTGGTGACCTGCATAGGTCACAGTGACCCACGGTATCGACAGTGCCAACTTCCTTACCATCTAAGCTGACCTTCGCTTGACTTGATACAGGTCACAGTTACCCTCCTCACTCTCGCGTTCTTGACATACTCACCTACCACTCTTGGTAACCTGCATTTTTATCAGAGGGTGGTCACAGTGACCCAAGCCCATGGAAGAGTGGCGTTATGTGACCCTGACTGACCTAGAGTGTTTAAAAATTGGAATCTTCATGACTGGAAGGAGTCCAGATATTCTAAGTAGAGGTAACCCTTCCGTGATCAGTAACAGTCTGATGTGATATAAGATCGGATCATTTCTATTGATCTGCTAGTAAGGTAAACTTCATGTGAAGCGAATTTAAGAAAAATACGATATTTCCAACAATGTAGCATTCGATCTGCAGTTTAGAGAATTGATAATCCCGCAGACTAACCACTGAACGACGTCCAGATGCACACTACGCTTCAACTGGACCTTGGTGAGCCACCCACCCACTGAAGCACAGAAATAGTGTAACACAGTAGACACAGTGCGAGGCTGTTTGTGTATATTTCTGTAAGGAAGTGTAGATAAATGATTCAGGATGATGAATTAGACACCTGTGCAACACTTGTGCAGACACTTGTGCAACGTTTTGCCAGCCAGTGGCTGGCAAAACGTTTCCACAATATAGATACCCAAGTGTTGCACAAGTGTGTATTTCCCTTTAAGCAAGTGTTTCTCCCGGTGCATACATTTGATTGGTATCCTCCAGAGGTACTTATATTAACAAACATTATTAATGTAAGTAGATGAATGGTTCAGAGAACCGACAAGTTGATAAATTAGACACATGTGCAACACTTGGGTATCTTTAATGAGGAAACGTTTCGCCACACAGTGGTTTCATCAGTCCATACAAAGGAGAATGGCGAAGAACAGGAGGAGTTTGAGGTAATCAGTACTCTCATTCGTCAAATGTGTCACCACCTATGACTGCTGCACCTCTCCTGCCTACAGTATATAAGCTACTTCTTCGCACATATGCTGTATTCTTTTCAAGATTGATGGACTGATTACATCGACTCAAGGCTGAGGGACTGATCACCTCAAACTCCTCCTGTTCTTTACTATTCTCCTTTGTATGGACTGATGAAGCCACTGTGTGGCGAAACGTTTCCTCATTAAAGATACCAAAGTGTTGCACATGTGTCTTAATTTATCATTATTAATTTAAGTTGGGGTAGAGTGATGGTGAATATGCTGTCTCTTCGCCCTGGGTAACTGACGATTTGTTAAAACAAATGGCATGTGTTCATTTTAGTATTGGTTTTTGGTATATGTATCAGTCTTGGTAATACTACAAGTCCTGGTATTAGCATTAATCTTAGTATAAATATAGTTGGAAGGTTAGGTTAGGTAAGGCCTGTCAGGAAACAGGGCAAGTGTTTCCTGACGCGGGTCTTAGTTGGCTTACCTCTCCCCCCTCCTTTTAAAATTAAGGTTTAATTATAACCATAGTATTATTTTTTTTACAGTTGGAACTAAATGGCTGCCGACACAGGAACTTTTCTTCACCATTAACATTAGTGCTCACGCCAATTATAATCTTTGTTTCTTTTCATTGATATTATTGCTGGTATTAATTTTAGTGTTAGAATAAATATTAGTGTTTGTTTTTCATATTAATGCTATTATTAATATTATTGTGGCATTATTATGGATGTTTGTAGAAATATTAATATTGGTAATGATATTAAAGTTGGTATTAACATTAATATTCGTATTAATATTATTATTGAAAGTTAAGACACATGTGCAACATCTGGGTATCTTTATTGTAGACGTTTCGCCATCCAGTGACTTTATCAATGCAGATTCTTGGACACTATTAGAAGACAGTAGAACTATATACAAAATGATAGGATGGATAATGAGAACCTTCAAAACTAGGGACGCCAAGCCCATGATGATTCTCTTTAAATCGCTTGTGATCTCTAGGCTGGAATACTGCTGTACACTAACGGCCTCCTTCAAGGCTGGCGACATTGCAGACCTGGAGAGTGTACAAAGAACTTTCACGGCACACATAAGTGCGATAAGGTACCTAAACTACTGGAACGGTTGAAGGTCCTTGATCTGTATTCCCTCGAACGCAGGCGAGAGAGATACATGATAATATACACTTGGAAAGTCTTGGAGGAATTGGTACCAAACCTGCACACGAAAATCACTCCCTATGAAAGCAAAAGACTCGGCAGGAGATGCAACATTCCCCCGAACACAATAAGTGTCCGGGGCTCAAGACTGTTCAATTGCCTCCCAGCATACATAAAGGGGATTACCAAGTGACCCCTGGGTGTCTTCAAGAAGGCACTGGACAGACACCTAAAGTCAGTACCTGACCAACCGGGGGCTGTGGTTCGTACCTCAGCTTGCGTGCTGCCAGCAGTAACAGCCTGGTTGATCAGACCCTGATCCACCATGAGGCCTGGTCTCAGACCGGGCCGCGGGGGCGCTGACCTCTGAAACTCTCTCCAGATAAACTCCAGGTAATCAGTCCCTCAGCCTTGGAATTGGTGTTGAGAGCACCGTGGTGGTAGAGATTCTGGAGCAAAGGCAAGGAGACTGGCGTTTATATAGGCGTCAGTGGATAGGGACGTGTAGCAGACGAGGGCATAGTCACTGGTAGAAGGGATTCCCCAGTGGAAGTAGGTCCTACCCAAAGGGATGGGTTAGTTGTAGTAACCATGAAGAAGGTCTTGTAGATGTCCTCTGAACCAAGATTCCATGATGTTGCAGTGTCTGACAAATTGTGCAAGAAAAGTATGCAATACCGACAAGATGAAAGTTAAGACACATGTGCAACATGTGTCTTAACTTTCATCTTGTCGATATTGCATACCTTATTTGCACAATATTATTATTGGAATTAATATTTGTTTGTATTATTTTGCGTGTCGGTATTAATATTAATTTTTGTATAATAAGTATTAGAGTGAGTATATGAACAGTACCACAGGCGGGGTTAGAACCCGCGATCAGAGTCATAAAACTCCTGACCGACGCGTTAGCCACTGGGCCAGTTGGCTACAATAACCACTGGGCCAGCTGGCTACAATAAGATTCATCCAACTAGGTATATTTCTACACCATAGTAAAGTTACTTAGGCACCACTGTGACCACAAATGCAAGTTTTTACAGACGAATATCCTGCTAGCGTGGCCGTGACGAACTCTAGCTCAAGTCCCCTCAAAGCCGTCAACATGATTCACGAAATCGTAATGACACGATTGCAAACAAATGTTTGTAATCGTGTCTACGATTTCGTGAGTTACAGTGAGCATATGTGTTGGCATGAGTTAATCAGTGACATGTATTCACAAGTAAACATTGCCAATAAAAATTCTTCCAATAAAAACTGAAAAGTTTATTTATTTAGTATATAAACATTCTGCATATTTGTCATTTATGTCTCGGTGAATTTAAACCTGTTGTAATTGAATCCTATTATTTGCTGCTTGGGAATGTGTTCTTGGTATACGTAACAATGGATCTGCTGTATCATACCTCAGCAGTTTGCTGGCTAAAATGTTAAACCACTGACAGACGTAACTTCAGGTTACGTCTGTCAGTGTAAATAGGATTCAGATCACTATGGGACACTGTGAAAAACATTCTGATGCTGGAGATATGAGCTGGTCAAGCATATCATGGTTGTTCCTCCATCACTGTTGACACCAACATCTTGACTCATACTCTCCGTCACAAGAGAAGCATTAAGGCAAAAGGTGTATATTATGAACACGAAGAACTATGGGAATATTTCCATTCTCAAAGACAGATTATGGAAGAGAGAAATATATGGCGGTGAAGAAAGAGGGAAAGCTAACAAACGGACCGAGAAGACTACACAGCCCATGGAAATGCAGAATGCAGTAGCAGGAAACAATGCAATCAACTGCAACGGAAGCTCAATTCAAGGCTATTAAGATCACCTAACCTTGCACTCCCATTCTCACTCCAGTTCACACCAGCTCCACAACATTTCCATCCTCTTTGGTTCCAGAGAGTATAGTGATTCCGACAAGACGTGAAAGAAGACACGTACGTAGTTACGAACACAAAAGCACAATACCATGACTGGAACAATACACAAATTCCGCACATAAGCGAGAGAAGTTTGCGACTACATTTCGGTCCTACCTGGACCATTTACAGTCACTGATTTTGTAAATGGCCAAAGATGGATCGAAACATCGTCGTAAACTTCTCTCTCCTTTGTGCGGGTTATTTGTGCATTTCGCCACGAGTGACTTCTTTAGTTCTAACATAGAGACATCACAGAAGGGAACATATATTATAGTGACATGAAGTGAAACAAGTCAGCTGTAAGAAGTGAGATCATATTTGGTAGCATCTGATGTCACCTAACAGCTGTGTCCAAGCTGGATGGATAACAACTTTAATCTTAAATACTTGTAGACGTTGAAGCTGCCTGACGTCTGAGAGGTGGTGTTTGCGACTCCTGTATCAATTCAATCCGGTTAGTTTGAAAATTGTTTATTTCATAATATAGTTTAGTATCAGCATGTAACAAATAAAACGCCACTACGCTATGTCTCAGTTGATCATAGTTAAATAAACATTCCTCTAGTTGGCTCATGATTTTCTAGCCATCTTGTTGTAGATTTTATTACATCATTTACACAAAATAATGTAGTATGTGTCAATAAAGAGCCGATAAATACTTAAAAAATAATACCCTAGTTTAAAAACTAGCTAAGATTAAAAAATGCTAGTCTTATTAATCAATTACTTAAATTACCTAACTTGTAATAAGGCAATATAATATTGTAATATTTTTTTCACATAAATAGCAGCATTATGATCAATGGTATAAATGGAGTTTTGAGACTCTAAGACCGCGGGTTCTAACTCCGCCCGTGGTATGGTTTGTTTGCAATCGTGTCATTACGATTTCGTGAGTGATCCAGTTAGCCGTATAAGACTGTGACAAATTCCAACATGGCAAATTCTCACTGGCTAGTAAAGAGTTCTGTCATAATGAAATATTTTCAAGACAGTCGATTAATAGATAGATTGGATTATCGTGTCATACCGTCAGATTAATACTCGATCATGTATGACTAAATATGTCACACGATGTATAATTCATTAAATTATAATTGCTATGAAATAATGTACTTTCAATAACAGTTTGTTGTCATGCATATAAAATATGTTTCTATGTGATATGGTTACTCAAAAACGCCATGAAGGACGTCGCTCCATCAGGGGGAGAAAGGTGGGAATATTGCGTTGTATCAGTGTGAAGACAACGATCACTTACGTACATATGTTAACACGTCAATAACGAAAAGAACCAAGTATTTCTCTGCATTTCATATTAAACAATATAATCAGAGTACTCACTCTTTAGTATTTGTTCAGTAATATTTGCTTAAAATTAATAAAGAAGAACTCTTGGACAATACTAAATTTATTTAACAAGCAGTTACGCTTATTAAGCAAATTTATGTCTGTCAGTGCTTATTAAATTTATTATTATAATTAACAGAAGGTTCCAATGTGTCAAATATCACTCCAGAGAGACAGTGTCGGAGAAGTTACTGAGGGAGGACCTCGGCTACAGTAAATCAGCTCTGAGACGTGAGTTTTACACTAATCGACATTTCCTACATTTCTGGTCGGCTTCGACCGAATAGTGAGCGAATCTGGGAAGTGATCTTTGTAAATAATAGCATTAGCTATATTGCAATTACGAAGAATTAATGCCAGGAATTGCAGTAACATAAGGGAATCCGATTAACCTGAAACCGAGGCTAGATTATAAAATAAGTAATTACACGTTTTTATACGTTCCAATATCATGTGTATTTAGTGTTTCCCACTGGTATTAACTATTCGACTGTGTTCCAAATACGGAACAGCTCAATAAACAAAAGCCATTGGTGAATAATAAAAGGAACACTTATAGTTGCTGCCGGTAGAAATGGTGAGGATGTTGCTCCGAATATTATTATTATAATCAATGGAGGAAGCGCTAAACCCGGAGGATTATACAGCGCCTGGGGGGGGGATGTGGAAGGCATTCAGGCTTAATTCGGGGAACTGGAGCACAGATCCAATTCCCTAAATCAAGAGCCCCTCACCAACATCAAGGAACCTTCCTTGAGGGGTTTGCTCCGAATAGGATTGACTTGAAACGATATGTTTTCACAGGACTTTGAGGGTTATGTGGACTCTGGTGAATTAATAGTGGTTATAGTTATAACTTTAAATTTTAAAAGGGTGAACCGGAAAGCTAGTGAGTCTCGGTCAGATGACCAAAAGCTCCAGTGGCGGGTTATCATGTTACTAAGACACGCGTCAGGAAACACTTGTCATGTTTCCTGACGTAACCTAATTACTGGAGTGTACTTTATTTATCCAGTGATTTACAATATACTGGAGTGTGTTGTGGAAATCCTGTGATTTACACTGTAGTACTTGTGGGAACAATTTATTTCCTAATCCTTCTAAAATAATATTATCGGTTAGTCTAATGAGTTATCATGTAACAGTTCCTCTTGGCAAAAAAAAAAAAAACTTTTTAAAATTATTCTTAGGTATAAATAGCATAATTTCTAAATATTCAATAAGGGAGGAACTAAGTTAAGGATCTGTGGAACGTAAATCAGAGATGAATTCATTCAAGACCATTAAGGTACATCTCGGATTAAAGGGCTATGTTTAATGTGCCGTTCCTCCTGTCAAATAACAGCTCCAGACTGTGGAATGGTTATCTAACAGATTTCACAAGAGTAATTACTCTTGAACTGAAATCCGCCAAGGATTACTAGTGTTGACCCAGCAACCACCGTCCGGTCATTTACGTAATACTAAGCCAGATGTTGTATCTAGTACAACGGATGTGGAGACTGAGTAAACAATGGATGAACCTCGTCTACAGGTGTCTACGAGCAACAACGATGAATTTACTCCTGAGGAAGTAATTGCTGGAGAAGACTCTAATTCAGCCGAGATCAAATTAGTTACTAATGACGAGGGAGAAATGTCTCCCACTAGTAAATATAATTAAATATAACTTATTTGGTTATAACTTCTGTAGTGATAAGTTAACGCTACTGAAGGCTGCTCTGTCAGTAATGCAAACATAGAATAGCCATATCAGGTGAGGAATTATTAATAAAAACTTAGGTAGCACCTGTTTACTGACAATTATTTTACATTAAAAATAAGAACTATTACTTAAAGCAATTATTTCTTATAGCAATTGATTCATAAGACTCACAGATAACTGAATATATGAACCATCGATTGTGCTGATGCCAGCACTAAGTGAAGGTTTCTCAGCCCTGCCTTGAACATAAAGGTTCCTCAGCCCCGCCTTGAACATAAAGGTTCCTCAGCCCCGCCTTGAACATAAAGGTTCCTCAGCCCCGCCTTGAACATAAAGGTTCCTCAGCCCCGCCTTGAACATAGAGGTTCCTCAGCTCGGGCTTGAACATAAAGGTTCCTCAGCTCCGGCTTGAACATAAAGGTTCCTCAGCTCCGGCTTGAATATTAAGGTTTCTCAGCTCCGTCTTGAACATAAGGGAGTAAACTCAGAGGAGCAGTAAGATAATTAACCATGTGATATACTATGTCTCAGGTTAGACCACTCAAACCGTAACTTCAGAATTGTTTCAACCCTCACAGTGACAAGATAAATATCTCCCCAAAAAAGGGGAGGTGAGTTGAAACATTGTAATATGTTCATTTATATGTAATATTTAATAATTAAATTATAGATTAATATTATATTGTAAACTTGGTGCTCTAAGTATCACTGATAAGAATATTAAGTTGAACATGTACAATTTTTACTAAATATCTAGAAGCAAAAAAACACAGATCCCAATGGCTTGTGAATATTAGCAATTATATTAAGTTCTACAACCTACACGAGCTGTAACATTGTAGACAAGAGCGTTTCACCCCTCCATGGAAGCTGTGCTCATTTAATATCACATTTGAAAGCCCCTCCCAAGAAGTTTATCACCAGTAAGCCCTTCCGTAAATCACTTGCTAATGCAACTGCTCAAGAAGGGATTCTCACAGTGACGGATCACCACAAGTCCACTGGCAGGATGCCACCTCCCTAGATATGAACTATGTTACTATAGCAACCATTTTCATTTAGTTACAAGAGTTAACAAAGTGGCGCTTACACTAAAAAATAGCATATGTTGGTTTACATGATGCATTCGGAAAATGACTCAAGATACAAAGAACATTAACGAAGTCTCTGCTGCCAGGTCTCCAACCCCAGGTGTTAGTATCAATGTTAAAACGCTGTAAATAAAAGCTATATACAGAATAGGTAAACAGGTGAAACGTGAAACGAAAAGACCAGAGAATATGAAAGTTCACAAGTTGGGAACGAGGACGGAAGTTGGGGAGCGTGAGAGAGATAATGAACAAAGTGATGTTGGTGGAAATACAGAATATCACAGTGGGATTTATGATATTATATTCACAGGGAAGCACTATATCAGTAGAAGTCAAACAGTGCCTGGGGGAAGCAATTAGGTTTGACCTAGGGAAAGTATTGGTAGCTCCAACACTCTCGAAAGCTCTCTACCTGCATCAAGGCACATCCATTGAAGGTACCTTAGCAGGCGACTTTTCTCGTTACCAGTTCTTAGTAAGACAATCTTGGTTCGTGAAGACGCAAGCTGGAAAGTTTAAAATACTTTCTCGTGGTGTTGGAAAAAACTTCGTAGCGGTGATGGTGGATCTTTGTAATCAAAACAGTTTCTTCTATGAGCCCGGGTTCTGTTTTCATAACTGAAGACACTTCTCTCCAGAGCTATTCTTCGCCTATCCTCACTTCCCTGTTCTCTTCTTACCTGAGAGTTAGTTCAGTTTCACATTGTTCAAGACTATGAAGTTGAACACAATCTCCAGCCTGAGGGAGAGACCATCTCGAACTGTTCTTTCAAGGTTGATGGAATGATCCCATCATCTTTACGTTTCTACTTCTGCTGTCTCCGTATTTGCCATATCCGTATACGACCGATGAAGCTTGACGTATGGGCGAAACGTTTCGGAATAAAGATACATGACTGTTGACATGTCTTGCTTATCCATTATTCTCTGTATTTCTCCAATGAGTTATGTTCATTCTGTAGTCTGGAGACCAGAATTGAGTTACATGATCTAAGTGACTTCTTACTAATGATATATAGAGCTGAAGTATAACTTTGGAACTCCTTAAAATAAAAAAACCTTACCTCCCCGGCGGGGAATCGAACCCCGGTCTCCCGCGTGACAGGCGGGGATACTCACCACTATACTACCGAGGAACTCCTTAGGTTTGTTGACGACAGAAAAGTAGATTAAGTGGAAGATGCCACTGTACCTGGAGAGGATTTAAACAAGTTCATGTCGTGATGAGAAAAGTGGCAGATGCAGTTCCATGCAGATAAATACAAAGTCGTAAAGCATAATATATTATGTTCTTACGTAAGATTGGGATTTGTACAACATGAGTTAGTAAGATTATCAAACCTTATTTCCTTGGGGCCCTCAATCGTGGTTCCTTGATGCTGGTGAGGGCATCTTAATCAAGGGTAATGGATCCGTGCTTCAATTACCTGAAGGGATTCAGGGAAACCGGCAGGCCGGACTTGAGTCCTGGAGATGGGAAGTACAGTGCCTGCACTCTGAAGGAGGGGTGTTAATATTACAGTTTCATAACTGTAGTGTAAGCACGCCTCTGGCAAGACAGTGATTGAGTGAATGATGGTGAAAGTTTTTCTTTTTCAAGCCACTGGGCCTTGGTGGGAAGCGGCCAATGTGTTAAAAATAACAATAATAATAATAATAATAATAATAATAATAATAATAATAATAATAATAATAATTAATAATAATAAATTATGAGAGTTGGCAGGTAATTTGCCTTTCAACTTTCCTGCCTCACTTGTGAAGATTTGTTTCAACTTTTCAACTTTTCTCTCAAATTCCACAAACTTTTGGCAAATGATGCCAGACCTGACAAGACTTCCTCGATACCTTTATTATTATTATTATTATTATTATTATTATTATTATTATTATTATTATTATTATTAGCAGTAGTAGTAGTAGTAGTAGTGTTATTTGGATGTCACAAAAAGAAAACATTTACCATCATTCACTCAATGGCTGTCTTGCCAGAAATACGCAGATATCACAGTTCAAATGCCCCTTGCCATTGTCGTCTCCACTGTCCCCAACCTCTTTGTGTCGTCTCCATTGTCTCCAACCTCCTTGTGTCGTCTCCACTGTCTCCAACCTCCTTGTGTCGTCTCCACTGTCTCCACCCCTCAAGGAAGGTTCCTTGTTGTTGGTGAGGGGCTCTTGATTTAGGGAATTGGATCTGTGCTCCAGTTTTCCGAATTAAGCCTGA